TCTGATAAACTAACATGAGAAAGTTAAAGCGCTTAAATCTGTTTAATAATTTAAATTAATATTTCCTTTCTTACTGGTTAAATTAAACCGTTCTCCCTAGCTACAGCACTAGCAATATGGCTTGGATGTAATTATGTAATTAACAGCGAGTTTCCATGAGCAACCAGTGGTCTTTGGCAAGATTTGCATTGAGCCAAGTGGGCCATGGGCCAAAAATTTTGAGAAACACTCTTCTAAAGAGTCAGTGGATGCCACCCAGAGGAATCTGTCTGGAGATGTGATTGAACAAGAGAATGGAAATAGGCTCTACACCTGCAGAGCCACATCCCTGTGTAGCTTCCTCCTTCTGGTGTAATTGATGTCTGTTTTGGCCAGAACCAGCAGGAGGAGGTTGAGGAGAAGATCTTGCAACTTTGCGGTGCAATTAATAGGGTGTGTGAAAATCAGGAAGTGCAAGGAGATTGGAAGGTGTGCAGTGAATAAGGCAGGGCATTGCCAGAAAAGAAAGAACTGTCTTGTGGCTAAGGCAGCTGAACGAGTTTTACAGGATCGGTCGGCAAAGGCTTCCCCAGCCAACAGATCTGCATCTAGACTGCCGCACTGTGCCAGATCAACTGATCATTGGCACAGTGCGGTGGCCATGTTTATTTTAATGAAGTGGGGATTATTTAAATCCCTGCTTCTTTGCCTGTGCCGGGTAAACTAGTTTACATGGCTCCGTCGACGGAGCCATGTAGTCTAAACATACCCAAGAAGGCCACACTGTAGCCATAGCCTTAGAGGCCCTGGGATCTGATTCATAGAAGTGCTCAGAATTCATAGCTGCAACTGAAATCACTGGGAGATGAGCTTTGAAAACATGTAATCTTAAATACACTGAAAAATTAGGTCCAGGGTGTCTTAAATTGGGCACCCAAAGTTAGTGGGCACTTTCTTGTGACTGTTAAGACAGTCTCTTGGATTAAATTGGAGCTCTGATCCCCAGCCTGTTTGATAGTGCTTGCCCTCTATCAGCATCACAATTTCCAGCAACATGGCTAAGTGCAGAGCTGCTATCAACTGGAATTAAAAACATTGTAAAATTCACTTGAGTGTATCATCTAAAATTAGAGCAGAAAAGATACAGTCTGACAACAAACCAAGAGGGTGAGGGGATGTTTTTAGTTGAGCACACACCAGGGAGAAATTACAAATATTCTTTCCTTTGCAATTTTCACAAGGCAGGAAGAAAATTCACTTTTCTTCAAACCGCATAACACCTGGCAGCCTCCCAGCATAGAGAAAGTGATATCAGTAACATCTGTCATCATCATCGTCCTTGGTCTGACTAAGCACGCAGTGACAGAAAAATGTATCACCTGAGGCAGTGTCCACCTCCCTCTACACACAATATGACTATAACTCAAAAGGATCTAATGACAAATTAGGGCTTGAGCCAATGCCCTTTGAAGTTCATGAAAAGACTCCTGTTGACTTCAGTGGGCATTGGCTCAGGTGCCATAATTTACAAAAGAGAAATATGGATTGTTGGACTCTCCTGTTGCATAAAGAGTTAGATGCTGTTCCCTGTTGGGAAAGCTGGCACCCATGTCAGTGGCAGCAGAATGAAGTCCTAAGTGCAGTGAGAAACAGGGAAAAAGCCCTGTCAAAAAAGCATCCTGAACTTTCAGGTTTACATTATTTTATTTAATTTGCAGATCAAATATATAGTATTTGATAGCTATCTGACTTACCTCCCTGTTATAGCTTCATGTTTCTAAGGAATCTGCCTGGCTGCAAGGGCAGCTTGTATTTTGTGTTCAGCTCAAAAGATGTAGCATTATTAGATTCACTTTCTTGTTTTGAGGCTCATAGTTGTTCTTTGTTTGCTTGTGAGTTTCCTTCATCTGAAAATATGGGCCAGATTGTCAATTAGTATTAATTAGTTCCCTGTAAGGATGTGGATGGGTAACCTTACCTGGTGATGCTTACCGGGTACTGATTAACCCATAGCCAGGGGGTAGCTCTCCACCCATGACCTGCCATGGGAGGAGGCCTGCTCCAGCCCTGCAGGGATCAGGAGCTGTCCCTCCTGGAAGGAGTCTGGTGTGGAAGCAGGATCCAGCTGCCCCATGTGTGGGGGGAGGGATTGAAACATGAGGTTTAAATGATTAACTGGGATTTTACATCCCTAGTTCCCTGGAAGCCAGGGATTGAAACTAGCTAAGGAGCTGGCCCATTGTCTTCTGCTTTTTGTGCCCAGGAAGAACAACAATCCAAGCTAATTTGTGTAACTGGCAAAGCTGCACATTCTAATCCAGCTGGGCTCTTTCTATCTCTTCCAGACTGTGCATGAAACAGAGATTCTGTTGTTGGAATGTAGCTGACAATTTTGTTGCACAAGACTGAAGTTATGTTTTTTTTAATAAGTGCTTGCTATGTGGAGCCACAAGGAATTAAAACATGTTAGGTCATTATGAAACTCATCTTGTGTCTCTGAGCAATTGTGCTTCCAAAACACACCATGAACAGCAATGCCAAATAAGGAAAGGCCATTATTTTGCAAAGTCACTTTGCTGGCTGTAACCACACTTGAATCTGGGAATGCTTTGGGGATTTGAGAGATGACCATGCCCTTGATCATTTCTTAAGATGTCAGAATTGTTAAAAATAAACAAAGAACCCCTATGGTGCTTTACTTGGTAGTTTTTTGTCTAAAATTGTAGATTTAAAAGCTGTAATATAGTAAGTGATTAGTCCATAATTTGATCAAATTGTTTAGATATGTTGAAAAATATAGATTAAAAATGCTTATAACTTCCCGCTGTCCTCTGCTTGCTTCCTCTTTGTTTCAAAATATCTCCTGCATAGTGACTGTGTGTGAGCATTAAGTGGGTAATAGTACAATTAGTCCAGTTAGAAAAATTTATGAATGGATGTTTATTTCTATCACATGTCAGCATTTTCAGATGTGCTAAGGAACCTCACTTTTTGATAAGTGCCTAAATCAATTGACCTCAGTTGACTTCTTTGGAGCCTATAGCATGTTATCTTAAGACAAGGGTGCAAGCTAGAAACTATCCCAGCACCATCTGCTGGGCAAATAACACAACCTTTTCAATACTACTAGGCTACTGCAGGCTGCTGGGCTGAGACATTTGTTTACCAGGAGCATCTGCAGGCATGGAACCCTGCAGTTCCCAATGGCCATGGCTTGCTGTTCCCAGCCAGTGGAAGCTGTGGAAAGTGATGTGGGATAAAGGATGTGCTGGCCACCATTTCCAGCAGCTCCCATTGGCTGCAAACAGTGAACTGCAGTCATTGGGAGCTGCGGAGTTCTGTGCCTGCAGATGCTCCAGGTAAACAAAAAGTCCCAGCCTACCAGTGGCATACTCTGTTGGGTCAGGAGCCGGAGTTTGCCAACCCCTCATCTATAATAACAATCTATTAAATATCCAATTCAATAGAGCTTAAAATCATCAACTTTTGGTCTAGACCCATTGGTAAGCCAATCCCTTCTCTTTGATGCTTCCCAAAAAAATCAGTTATAAACTAGTATATACGGTAATTCATCACTCAGGCAGAAACACAAACAAACAAATGAAGGTGGAAAAACCCAAGAGTTCAATATTTCATAATAAGCTCTCTCTGTTGTAGCAGCAGCAGCTGCAGTTTCTCCTTCTGAGTTCTTTTCTGTTTTGTGTCTGAAAGAATCAGCAGCTGCTTAGGAACTTTTCCAAAAAGATTAATTGAGAAGTTCCTAGTTGCTCTTCAAATTACTTGACAGAATCAAGCTCTTCAGGAGCAGGGACTATTTTCTTTATTCTATGATATAGTCTGACAATATGTTCATCTAAAGGTACATTACAGGGGGTGGATAAACTCAAGAGGTTGTAGAAGACTCTGAAACCAGTTTATTATGTCATATGGGCAGAAAGAATAGTTTAAATTACTTTAAGGGGTCTATTTAATTTCTTGAAAATTCCCTGCTAAACCATGCTTGCTTCCCACTTTGGAGTGTGAGGGATTGGTGGTATAGATGTCACAAATGGCAGGATTAATTTGCAGAGGCAGAATTCAGAATCCTCTAAAAGTCTTACTTTTAGAATGGATTAGCTAATGATATTCAGTTCTGATGAAGGGATACTTCTACTTGCTGTTTTATGGGGTGTGTGGTGTTCACTGAGATCTCATTGGGAATTTTTGGGGGGCAAAGTTCTCTGGAGTAGCACAGAATTGTCCTTAACATGCTATCCTACTACTGTCCTCATTCACCTTGAACCCTTCATTACGATTACCACCAAACAGGAATTTTTCTATGGCTACTCAAGGTTCTTGCTGAGACAGGCCTGATCTCAATCAGAAGGCTTTTAAAGAATCTCCCTGTTATACAGGGCAGAGAGGAAGAGAAGTTGCCAGCATTTTTCTAGAACATGTTGTTCCTGTGACAGCTAGGAACTGTTAACCTCAATAGAGAGTCTCATGTGCATGGGAGACAGAATTTCCCCACAACTGGCCAGTGACTGTGGAACTAACTTTCAGAAATAGAATTCATTTTCCCACTTCCTTAAACCAAAACAAGTCTTCTCCCATGCCACAATCTTTTCAGCCCTTTGCTGGGCTGAACAGTTCTTTCCAAGTACTCAGGCCCTGCTACATGACATTTCCTTAGGACTCTCTGCTTCAGTTTTCCTCTGTAGTCCCTCATTTTGGGTAGCTTTAGCTAGGTCTTTTCACCTTGCTGATATACTGAGTCCCTTCTCCAGCCTTCTTTGACCTTGGTCCCTTCTGGAATCTCTGCAAGAGCCTTCCATAAGTCTCTCTCCTTGGTTACCCTTCTATTTGGGCTTCACGCCCAGCATTCTTGCTCTTTGATCCCTAGATCACTCTGAGCAGGGGAGCCTAGGCCCACTTGAAAGGTTTTGTTTTTTTTCCTGGTGAGCCCTTCCCCCAAACTCTTCCTAATTTTGGATCTCCCTCTCTCTGACGGAGCAGGCTCCCCGTTCCAGGAAGCCCTACCCATGGATTATCATCATGATACACCAGGTCACCTGACCAAGCCCATGACCAGGTCTAAACACATCACCTGTAGCTTCATGACAAGGCACAAGGTGAAGCTGATCCCAATCTCTCAAAGGATCAGCCCACCCTATGACAACCACTGTCATACTGACCGACTAGGTGCCAGGTAATGCCAAGGCCCCTCACTGAACAATGAGCAGTGCACAGTTTGATTCGCCTGTGTGTTAGCATTGTTAAAATAGATGTTAAGTGATAAGACTGTGTTGAGTGTTTAGACTTCATGAAATGCTTTTAAATTGCCAATGCATTAATCTCCCCTATATCTGTATCGTACGTTATAAGGTGATAGTTAAGTGTTTGCTTCATAAGTATAAAAGCGTTTGCTGTGAAACTGCAGAGCCCCACTGTCAGGAGAGAAGCATTACCAAGTATAGAAGTACAAGTTTACCAAGTGAGGTATCAACTTCTGCCTAACAAAAAAAGACTTACAGACACCAGACAAACCATTGTGGGACATTAATGCATAAAAGCCTTTCAAGATTGTTCCCTCACCACCACCACCCAGGAAGAGGAAATGTGTACTAACCTTTGTTCCATCAGGTTGAGTTCTGGGGGAAAGGGATAAAAATTATGGTTAAAAAAAATTATCCCTATACTGCTTGGAATTTGGAGAGGGCAATATTTCTGAGCATAAGCAAGGGATCCTCAAGTTATTTAGCTTGGGTTAGTCACAAAGGACATATAGAGCTTGCACATGACAGCAGCTTCTATTACTTTTTGAAACCTCAGACAGTCCTAGGTTTACCTGCTATAACCTTGTGAACAACTCTCATTTCTTTTTCCTAGTTAATAAATCTTTAGTTAGTTTTTTACCAGATTTGCTATAAACGTTGCCTTTGGTGAGAGAGTTAAGATACAAGTGACCTGTGGTAAATGACTGGTCTTTTGGGATTGGGAGTAAGGTGACTATTGTTGTGATTTTTGGTGTAAAGGCTCACCTAGCACAAAGGCAGGCTTGCCAGGGTGGCAAAATGGAATGGAGTGCCCAAGGGGACTGTGTTAAAGCTGTTATAGTGCTTTAGGAGTTCACACTTGTTACTTGGTTGGTGAAATCTAATTATAGCATATATACAGCTAGTCTGGGGTTTGTATCCTGTTCCTTTGACAAGTTGGCACTCATGGTCATGAATTACTCTACACAGCTTGGCATTCAAAAACCTCAGTGTGTTCAGAATTAAAAGCAAAAACCCATTTCTTCAATCTAACTTTCCCTGGGTAACCTTGCAAAAATAATATAGGTTGCACCTCTATAGACCAGGACTCTCTGCTCCAGCAATATCTGTAATCCGGAAGAACCACAGATGTTCCAGGATCAGAGGGTATGTCTGCACAGCAGAGCTAAAGTGAAATTAAGTTACGGAACTTGAGCTACGTCAATTGCGTAGCTGAAGTAAAAATAGCTTAATTCGGCTTTGGGCGCTGTCTACACAGCAGGAAGTCGAAGGACGAACATTCTTCCTTCAATTTCCCTTACTCCTCACAAAATGAGGATTACAGGAGTCCGAGTAAGAAGTCCTCCAGCACGCCATTATTTCGAAATAATGGGTTGCAGTGTAGACACGCTCTTTGTTATTTCAGAATAACATCAGTTATTCCAAAATAACTCTGCTGTGTGGATGTATCCAGAGAATCACGGTGTGCTTGGTGGAAGAGGGGAGTGCCAGGAGCTCGGCCCTATGGGGCGGGGGACGAGGTTGGCCCAATGCATGGGGGAGGGAGCAGGAGCCTGGCGTGCAGCTCAGGTGGGCTGCTTGGGATTCCGCCAGGAAGCCCAGCACAAGGCTCAGCTATGCTGGGCGGGGAGGAGCCTGGAAGGCTGGTTCGTAGCCCAGTTGGGCTGCACAGAGAGAAGAGAGCAAAGGAGGCAGAAACCCAATGTGTGATCCAGCTGGGCTGCTCTGGGGGAGCTGATGGGGCAGCAAGGCAGGGGGTGGATCTGGGCAGCAGAGGAGCCAGAAATGACCTCCCCTGGTCTGGCAAAATCCCAGATCTGGGACCAGGCAGGTGCCAGACCAGGGAGATCCAACCTGTACTTTTCTTTAGATAACAAAAAACAAACAAACAAAACCAAAAAAAACCAAAACTGAAAAACCACCCTTCCATTACCCTTTCAAGTGGGAGATGTAGGACACCAGAGTGCTTTTCATACACACATGTTCAGTTTCAGCCCAATAGGAGTGAAAATGGTGAAGTTAGCAAGTCACCTTTCTGACGTGTTGTAGGCATTGCAGTCAACAGGGACCCTACTTCATGTTCTCTGGTCTTTTTCAAAATTATCTTCAGATGGAAGCTTGGTTTGCGATAAATTGAAAGAAAGCACTGGCTCTTTAGTGCCCATTCACTCCAGAATCTTGTATGTTTGGGTATTCGAACTCTAAGGATTGTGACAGAGAGAACTTGGGGTTAATGGCGTTTGCTACTGGCTGCTCATTTGCAAGCAATGGAAAAACTGTGACTTTTCCTCCATATTGGAATGTGTCCAACAGGTCTGGAACCTTGTGACTTTGTGCAGATCAGCACTGCTTTCGTCTGAGAAGGTGTGCCTATTTGTGCACATGTGGTGTTCTCTGTCAAATGATTTGAACAAAAACAAAAAAGATTGGAAACTAGACTGCTCCCTCAAGAGAAAAGTTGATTGATTTATTCCTTCCCTTTATTTTGGCTTTTTTTCTTTTGTTTCTTGTTTCATTCCTTACTGGATGAGGTGTATTTTTTACATTACTGTATGAAAAATGACAAAATACAAAAGTTAGCTTCATTCATGAAGCTTTGTGTGATTTTACAGCAATAAAAATAAAATCAATAGTAGAACTCCCACACACAAATAACGAAACCAAAACTACAAGAATAACTTCCCAGTCCAGGGGAGAGGGAGAAGGAGAGGGAGGAGGAAAGAAAGCGAGATACAGAGCTTTGTTTGTGTTGGCTTTTAAAGATATATAAGATGTTCAGATACCTTGATGATGGGTGTAGTCTAAAAAGATTAGATATTAACTAATTAACACAAGCTCCCTGAGATCTAAAAAGTTTGTGGGACTGTGTTTTGTCCAGCCTCGGCTTTTCTTTTAATTGTTCTGACAAAGCATCTGTGTAACTTGATAACCTACTTCTTGATTTGTGATGGATGGAATTTCAGTAGAACCAACTAGATGACACAGGAATTCTGCCTTTCCTGTGCCCTGTTAGTCTACCTGAGCTACACAGTTATTCAAAGGGGGTGTGGTGATTTACAGACAATATAAATGGGCAGGCCCCTGCACTACATAACATATAGTTTAATTCAGACAAATCCTGCCCAGGGACAGCTGTTCAGGGCTGAAAAGGTGCAGGTATGCAATCACAGAAAAGATTAATGTAGGAAAGCCTCTCAAAACAAGTGGGTTATGAGGAAGTATTTGTAAGAAGACAAAATGTAGGGAGAGGGAGGGCCTGAAAAGAGGCCTACAGCCAAGAGCGGGGGAAGGAGTTTTAACCTTTGGAATTAAACTCCTCCATCCAGTGATCTCATTTGTGAATTGCCATCATTACCAGACCTTTATTCTAGGTATTAGGAATACCTTTTCCAACTGCCAAGCATCTGTTTTGTTTCTGATAAATATTCTCATGGCCATGGAAATAGAAATTATCTCTATTTTCTCACTTCCAGATTCAAACATGTAGTTGCAACAGCTCCTTTCTCTTTGTTTTGTTTACAGCCTGGGACAGTCATAATCTGGGCATGCCTTAAAGCTGTGGTGTCCAACAGGCTAGCCACATGGGGCTATTGGTCAGGTGAGTGTGTCTAGTTCACTATAGCAGTAGCAGAACTGATTGGATACCATGGTAAGCAAATTTTCCCAGGCAGAATCTCCTCCTTCCACTTCAACAAGCACAGCACTGTTTACTGTCTGCTAAGAGAAAGTGAGGAGCCCTTACATGTGCTGGCTGGGAAATCCCTGCTGAAATAAAAGGCCTGCATCTTCCTCTCGACATTGGCCATGTCTGATCAAACTTTACTCCAAGAAGGGAGAAGACTCTCTGTTGCTGATAACTTGGACCTGTCCCATGACTTTGTATAGAGTACAACTAGTTCCCCAAAGGCTTTCACCCATGACAGAAATTATTTCTGACTCACATTACTTCTCCAAAAACAGTGCCCAATGATCTCTCACAGCAACCAACCCCCCAGTAACAAACCTACATCCCTTGTCCCAGGGGCTGCCCAGCTGTCCTGATCCCCCCTCTCTCCCTGACAAGTTCTGATTGGTCTAAGATGCCAACCCCTTCCATCTAATTATTTGACAAGCTTCCAGTTAAAATTCTTGGAAAGGGGACCCTTTTGCTCCCCATCCCATCCCTGTGGCAAATACATTGCTCACTATCCCCCTTCCCAGATAGATTCTGTACTCCAGAGCCTCACTTTTGTACTGGATAGAGCAGAGATGGGCAGCCTGTGACTATGGGTGGCATCCAGCCCCGAACCTTTAATCCAGCCCTCATGCTTCTGCTGTGGGGGAAGAATTTGGAGCAGGTCCCACTCCAATGCTCCAAATTGGGGAGCGAGGATCAAGGGCTTGGTTTTCCCTGCTCTGCACAGCTCCTGGAATCAGGAGCAACCAGGCGGCTCCGCACACTGCCCTTGACCCAAGTGCTGGCCAATGGGAGCTACGGGGTGGTACCTGTGGATGGAGCAGCATGCAGAGCCACATGGCCCCTTTCTGGGTGGGAGCTGGAGCAGGGGTAGATTACTGTTTCCTGCACCGCTGAGCATTCCCATGCCCAGGGGCGGCCCATGGCTATAGGCCGACTTGGCCGTCGCCTAGAGCGCCGCCTTCAATGGCACCCGATGATGACATCACGGGGCGTCTGGGGCGCCTGATGATGACATCACACCATTGACGGCCATGCAGGCGGGGGCGCTGATTGTGTGTTTGGCCTGGGGCACCAGCTGCCACAGCCGGCCTTGGGCCACTCCTGCCCATGCCCCAACCTCCTGCCCAGCCCTAATCCCCATCCTGCCCTCCAAGCCCGTTGATCCCAGTCCAGTGCTCCCTCCTTCATCCCCAAATCTCTCATCTCCTGACACCAGAGCTTGCACTCCCAGCTGGAGCTTCATCCTTCCTGTACAGCCCAATCGCCTGACCTACCCAGGAGACCTCTTGTGCCCTTTAAGCCCATTGGTTCCATTCCGGAGCACCATCCCACACTCTGAACTCCTCATTTCTGACCCTACCCTAAAGTTGGCATCCCCAGTCAGAGCCTTCATCCCCTCCTGCACTCCAACCCCCAATGTTGTAAGCACTCATGGTCCTCCATGCAATTTCCCTGCTGAGATGTGGCCCGCAGGCCTAAAAGTTTGCCTACCCCGGGTTAGAGGCACAGAAGGCCAGCCTAAGGATCCCACAGCCTGAGAGCCTCTCTGGGGGTATGAATTGCAAGAGAATATGTGATAGTAGCCAAAAGTTCCTGTATGTTCCAAGGCTTGAGAGAAATCTTAGGTCTAATTCTTCTCTCTATTTGTACATTGTAACTTCATGAATTAAATGAAGCCCCCAAAACAATGTAAAGAGATAATAATAGAGATGTAGCCGTGTTAGTCTGGTCTTGCTGAAACAAAAGACAGGACTATGCAGCACTTTAAAGACTTGTTAACATCTTGTTAGTCTGCTGCATAGTCCTGTCTTTTGTTTTGTAAAGGGATAATGATTCTGTAGTCTCTGTGTGCACATCTCATCACTGTATAGCTTTTGTGATATGCTCCAAACTGGTCAAGGCCTAGCAAAGGGGCTCGTTTAAAAAAATGCTAACATAATTGATTCATTTTCTTTCTACAGGCCAATCACCTTAACTCATAAAACAAGTCACCCACTTGGCTTGAGGTCTGCTAACCACTCTACAGTGATATTAATTTTGATGCTGAGGGCATGTGCATTTCTTTGAGACTATTTCTATCACATCAGTCTCTCTTACAGCTAAATTCTGCTTGGTGTATGAGGGCCACAGGTGGAGCTGGTTGCTCAGTTAACAATAAGCATACATTATTAAGGCTTTTCTGTGCCAAGTGCAAAACCTCAAAATTAATCTATTTTCTTACTGGCAACTGGTGCAGATTGCAATGTGGGCACTTGCCTCTCTGCCAAGGACACTTACAGTGTATTTCATCATCTGATAATGCACCGTCCTTTTTGTGCTTAATAATTTGGCCTTTTAGACTCTCTTGGTCACTGGACATACTTATTGTTCTGTCAAATGGCCACATTCAAAGCCCGTTGTTGGAGAGAACATTATACAAGAGTTACAAAGGCATAGCTACGCTGGGCAGTATCATAAAGTTCTGTATAATTCCTTAGCGAAAGGTTAATAGGAAGGACTGATAACAGATATGGCTCTCTAATGAGAACTGATCATATAGCTGCCATCCTGAAAATTCGCCAAATTTCTCCCCAGAAGTGTTTGGAAGAGTTGACAAGGCTGCTCCATCATAGATACCCAAAACAGCTGCAAAGTTAAGAGCAAAATGTCAGACTCTGGAATTAATGAGTCCTTATGCAAACACTCAAGAACGGCTTGGCGACCGATGGATTTTCAGGGCAGTCTGCAGAAGCCTATTATCAAATGCCCTCTGGCAGTGAAGACTGAGGCATCTGCAATTCCTGACCCTTTTTTCCTGCTGGCTTGGTAACTAGATAATTGATGAACCAATGTGGAAGCAAAATAGAGAGAGAGAGGCACCAAATTTCCATGAGCAAGAAATGCTGATGCACGAAGAGACACCTAGAAAGAATGGTAGTGTATTGCATACACTGGTTGCCTGGTATGCTGTTATTATTTAAGCGCCAAACTCTCTGGGTTGCTGCTAGAGTGATGTGAAAAGTGAAGGTTTCATTTTGCCATGCTGTATGCGAACCTTTATCTTGTTTTTATTTTGCATTTATTTGCATTCTTCTGGGGTGGCCAACCCGTGGCTTTTGCGGCTCTTCTCCCCCATAAGTGCAGCTTGCGAAGCTGCTCCTGCGCCCATTCCCCCCTCCAACGGCCCCAGCCCCTGGCTCCCCTGTGCTCACCAGAGCGGCGATTAAAAATAGTGCCCAAGATGGTGGCTGTTGACCAAAAAGCCTAAGCTTGTTTCTTAAAGGGGCAGCCTCTTTTTTTTTTTTTTTTTTTGCTTGACAATTCTGGTGTGGCCTTCGCATTTTTTCCGACGCTGTTTCAGCTCTCTTTGTTAAATGGGTTGGCCATCCCTGCTATAGTATATGCTTGAAAAAAATTCAAGTTAAAAGAAACCGAAAAGCAAATATCAAAACTCCATCAAAGCTGCCAAGTTTTCCTTGGTTAAACCATAAAACTCTCCTTGCATCCTCTCCTCTGGCCTCAGCATAGAGGGAAGATCCCCACAATGCTGATCTCTGGACCAGGCTTTGCAACAGGATCTCTGATCTACAGAATTCAGCCTAATAGCCCTTCATTTTCTTCTGAGGTAGGAAATGCCCAATGGTCCTTATTTTTCCCACCCCCCCATAGCTTCCCACACTCCCTGGGTCAGACAAGATGCCTTCTAAGTTTCCAGCACAGTAAAATGGAGGCAATAGTTAGCAGAATTGCTGGTGTGTGTGTGCACTTTTTTGTAAATGTGGACTGCAAGGGTGTGGATGCACCCTCCATAGTCTCCCCAAGTAAGTGAGGAAATCAGCCCCAGCCTTCCCCTGGCTGACCAGAGAATGGGAGAGGGAGGCTCAGGCAGTGCACCAGTGCTTTCCCCTGGCCAGCCGGAGCATGCTTACTTGGGGAACCATGGGTGGGTGCTTTCGCACTCTTCACAGCCCTTGCATACAGGCCTGGTTAGTATCTTGTTAGGTGTCTCTATAAACTGCATGACTCTAGCTATTATGGCGACACTTTATTTAGGAGTCTAACTTCAGGGACTCGTGTTTTTATAATGTATACTGCTGAATCCACGTGTAGACACTTAAATATAGGTAGCCTGACTTAAAAGTGCTGAATCTTCACACACTGCATTGAACTCAATGTAAGCTACAGGTGCGCAGAACATTTTAATATCAGGAAACTTATATTTAGCTGTCTAGATCTGGGTTTAAGAAGTTTTAACATTGGTTTGAAAATGTATCCTATATGCTATGTAATGGAATCTTGAAAGGAATCTAGCATGAAGGTGATCATGGAGTCTGAGCCAGAGTATATGAAGTAATGAGTCCTGCAGAAAGCAGTACCTACCTGCTCCTTTCCAAGGATCCAGACTTTTGAATTCATGATACATGCTGTCCTAAATTCTTTGTTTGTAAAGTGCTTTGAGAACCTCAGAGGGAAGGCACTATAGAAGTAAAAGAGATTCTGAGTTATTGCTAGTATTATTTTATTACATTGGGCTTCTTTTTTCCAAACATAGGATCCCATCGACGGTTAATAATAAACAGCACTTAGGCCCCAGTTCAGGAAAGCATTTAAATACAGTATGTGCTTAAGTGCTTTCCTGGTTAGGGATGAACTTAAGCTCATGCTTAAGTGCTTTCCTTGATGACACACTTGTCTAGGACATTAGAACTTACTTTACAGACAAGGGGAATGTTGACTAAGCCCAGTGCTGTTTGAACAATATTGTCAAATAGTTTATTTGACCACTTTCTTCTGTATATTTTCAAATAAATCATTCGCAAATATTTTCTTCACGATTTGGCTAAGTTCAGATTGTTGAACAATATTTAGCAAACAAATTACTCATACATTTTTTTCTGTCAGTTAGCAAATAACATACTCAAAAACATTTTTATATACTA